CCTCTATATAACTGGCTCCCCACAAGCCATGTGCCCAGATTAGTGTGGATCCAGGAAAGTCAGTGAGGAGGCAATTCCTTCAACCACCTTTCATTCAATTCATCACTCTTTTATTCTTTCCTTCATCAGGACATCAATAAAGTATCTATTAAATGCTAGGCCCTGTTCTAGGCTCATGAGGGGAATAAAACAAAGTCCTCCCCCCTTGTAGAGTTTACATTCTAGTATGTAGAGATAAACAACAAACAACAAGCATATAAATGAGTCAATTATACAGAAAATTAGAATCAGTTCAGTGAAAAGTAGAACAGGGTAATGTGACTCTGGAGTGTTGTACCTTTAACAAGGTGCTCAGGGTAGGCCTCAGACAGAAGGGGAAATTGAAGGACAGCCTTGAAGGAGGTGAAAGAATTAGTCATGTGGCTATCTAGAGGAAGAGCACATATATAAAAATATGAATATATAATAGTGCAGAGACTGTGGGGTGGGAGAGTGTCTGGCACATGAAAGGGACAGTAGGGAGGCCACTATGGCAGGAGTGGAGGGAACCAGGAGGAGGGGAGTAGGAGACAAGGTCCAGAGGTAATGGAAGCATACCAAGTGGACCTCTAGGCCATTATAAAGGTTATTCTTCAACCATGCATTGTTGACATTTTTGACCAGGTAACTCTTGTCAAGGAGTTTGTACTGTAGGGTCTTTGTACTGTAGGGGGTTTAGTAGCATCCCTGGTCTCTACCTACTAGATGCCAGTGGAACCGTCCCTCGAATTGTGACAACCCAAAATGTCTCCAGACACTGCAGGTGTCCCTTTGAGAAAGAGGATTACGTCTGGTTAGGAACCAGTGCTATAAGTAAAAAGGGGACACGATCGAGTTTTTGGAGTAGAGGAGGAACATAATGTGATTTATATTTTAAAAGATTATTCACAGTGCCGTATTGGAAATCGACTGGGATGGGAGGCAGAAAAGCAGGGAGCCCATTCAGGACAATCCAGGGGCTGGAACTTCCTAGTCACAGTGGAGGTGGTGAGAGGTGGTTGAGTACTGAATATATCTTGGAGATACAGCCCATAAGATGTGAAAGAAAGGACTGGAGGATGACTGGAAGATTCTTGGCTTAAACAACTGGAAGGATGGAGCTGCCATGAACTGAGATGGGGAAGGCTGTGTGTGGAAAGGTTTTGAGTGGGAAATCAGTGGCTCAGATTTGGGCATGTGGAGTTTGAAATGAAATTCCAATAATCCAAGTGAGAGAATATGGTAGAATATTCTATTTTGTGGTAGAAAGAGGATGACTTCTTCAATAAAGAAACAGAACCCTGCACGGGGAGCAGGTGGGGAGGGAAGGATGGCACTCTTACTGCTAATCCTATTGGATTTGAGATGCCAAGGGGGCAGGCGAGAGGAAAGGTCTAGGAGAGTTGGCAACGCGGCTCTGGTGCTCAGGAGAGGTTGTGAGTCTAGAGAGAAGGAAAATCCCCTCCCCCAGGAGTAAGAGGTGTATAGAGGGAGACTACCATGGAGTGATGAAGGAGGCCAAGAGACGGAGAAGGAAGAGTGAAAGGCAATCATGGGAGGAACGGAGCACGAAAGGCAAGGAGGGTTCCAGGGAAATCCTAATAGAAAGAAAAGGCATTTAGCTAATTCTAGGCTGCAACACCTGTAACAACACATGAGATTATTTATGTCTAGGTATATGCTTCAGGAAGGAAGATCTTTATCAGAAAAATGTTTATGAATTTGCACCTGGACTATAAATTGCAAAATTTAGCATTAAAAATATACTATCACTATTTAATGGGCTCCAAGTGAGTCTTGGAATGTATAAATGCAGAATGCACTTTCTCAGTAAGTTACATTTTGTACTACAGAGCCAGCAAAGATGTGACCATGAGCTGGATGGGTCCCAGGGAAGGTAAACTTTCTGTACTATACATACTTTACTATCACTGATTATTTACGTTAAGCTCTTGGATTTTACTTACACCTTCCTTATCTGCTGTTTTGCAGACAGGAATGTGTAAATAAATAGATTCTGAAAGCCTTTTAAAATCATTTGTAGATCATGTATTTATTAAATACCTTAGCTCTTGAACTCTGCCTGATTAAGCGACTCATACTTATGCAAAACATCAACACTCTACTAAAGGTTACAATTACATTGGAAACAAAATTCCTTGATTCTTATCAGATTGACTCTTCACTTTCTTATCTTCTGATTTAGAAAGGAAGGCAGCTTTCTGCAATTCTCTGAAATTTAAATGCAAAGTTATGGTTCTTTACTTTGACTGAGAAAGTTCAGCTTCCTCCTCTCCCCCACTTCTCTGAGAGTATGATCCCAATCTGGGGTTGCCAAACACTACATTTCTATAACTGCTTAAAGTGCTGCAACTAACTGCCCAAGGGCAATGACATGAAATGCTGTTTCCCTCTTTGCATCAGATTCCCTCAATATTCAGATTCAGTCAGAATTCACTGAATTTTTATTGTGTACCAACTGAGTCGTGGCAGCTTTTTGCCTGGCTCCAGGGACAACAGAGCAGGTGTGTACAGTAACAGAAATGGTGCCCTTGCTGCTTTTGGCCTTTAGGTGAATTTCAGACCTGGTATTGAGTTTACAATTTCTGACTAAAGGGGGAAAACCTTAGAAAGTTGAAAGGTTTTCACTTCCAAAATACTCAGAACAGTATAGCTCTTTATCAGGGCCCTCCTTAGAGTGAGTGGGGTGAAATTTGGTTCATTGTAGACTTCAATGCAGGTTGAGAACAGAGACCGTTCTGAGAATGTGCAGGGGCAGCTTATGGGTAGGGTGTGGGGCAGCTTCTCTCGCCAGAGATTTCTGATTTCTCTCTATATTGCAGCAACTTATAAATAGCAGAGTGGAGATGGCCAGACTGTCAGCAAAGGAAGAAGGGGAAGCTGAAAGCAATGTCGTTTTCAGTTGCTGACATAATTCCATCCCAAATAAGGTGTACACATTTTCGGTATCTCCATATTTCTCAAGGTTTCTCAGCAAAAATAAACGAGGGAATTACAGTAATAACAACGATTTTCCAGCATCCTCAGAGCAGTAGCTTTTAACTCATACCACAAAGAATCAGCCACCGACACTTGGTATTTTATAAGTTCTTCCCCTCTAGCTCCGGGGCGGGGCACACACACAAAAAGGACAGAAGAAATAATTGAGGGGTTAAGAAGGTTCATATTTGTTCACATGACAGCTGCTGATCTTCTGCCCTGGCAGTAGTTGTAAATCCGTCCAGAGACCTTGGCATAGTCGCGGAGGAGATCGACAAGGCAATGTAAGTGAATCCCAGCTTGCTGTGCCTGGGTTTCTGAAACTGCAACCCCCTCACTTCCCAAACTCTCTGGAACAGCTGTTCTATCTTTAAATCTTAAACAAAACCCTAAGAGGGTGTAGTTTTCTGGTGAACCCCATAGTCGAGGAACAGGATTAGAGTAGGGGAGGGACAATTCCTAGCCTCCTAGCCTCCTCCCCCCACCTCATCCTATAAAGAAGCCCCGCTGGGACTGCGGCCATCCTCGCGGGGCCAACAGCTGTCCCGGCCCCGGGGCCCGCCGCAGCGCGTGGTCGTTTGTAGGAGAGGGTCCCAGTTCTCTCTGATAGGCTACGACCCCCTGCTGCCCACGCTCCACGTCGCCACTCAACCTTACCAGAACGTTTCCCTGAGCGCGAACCCGACTGTTCGCCACCGGGATGGGAAGCTCATGCGCGCGGCCATCTTGGCCACGCCCCTTCGCGCCTCGCCACGCTCCTCACGCCGGACACGTCATTTCGCTTATTCACGTCACTCCGCCGTACTCCCGGCCCACGTCCCACAAAGCCTGAAGTCCTATCCTGACGGTCCAGGTGTCAGAGCCCGAACTTCTCCGCCCAGCCAGGGCCCAGGTCTACACCTGCCCTCCGCCATGACTGCGCCTTTACTGCCATTGCTCCGGGCCCCCAGCCGCGGTCACGCGCCTACGCGCTATGTTGGCCCCGCCCCTGGCCTCCGCCTGGGCCCACCCCTCCTTGGAGCTGCACCATTGTCGCGCCCTTAAGAGCGGCAAAGTTACGCCCCCACGTTCACGGTACGTCCTTATGCTGCGCCTAGATCAGGGCCCGCCTTTCTATTACGTCATTGCGTCCCGTACGCTTCTCCGTGGCCCTGTCTCCCCATCGGTGGCCACGCCCCGGTGCTCTGCCCAGTCCACGCGACTGATGCGAATCCTTTCACATTCCTCTTACCCTTCGGGCCACGCTTATTGCGCTGACCCCACACCCCTCCATTGTGCCCATATCTCTGCTTTCCACTCTGGTAATTCCTCTGCCCTCTGCCTGAGGGCAAAATCTCGACTAACTCTTTCATGCCGTTTTGAGTCGCTACGCCACACCCTTTATGCCCCAAGTCCCACATTTTCAGGTCACGCCTCTGGGCTACTCCTAAGCCACGCCCCTTATGACGCAGCTGGCGCTGGCGCTCGCGCTCCTTCCCACGGTGTCCAGACCCTGCCCCTCAGGCCCGGGTCACGTTCCTTCCCTTCTGAGATCCTCATTGGCCACACTCCGCACATGCGCATTTTCTCCATCCGTCATGGCCCCTCCCTAGATTCCCAGGCCACCCACTTCTGGTTCCACTCTGGCCGAGTACACGCCTCCTGTTTTCCCTCTGTTGGCGATGTCTAGTCCTGGAAAGCCACGGGGTAGCGGGCGAATTTTCGGAAGTAATCGCCAAGGTCTCAGAGCTAGAAGTCCGTGGCATTTATAGAGTGAAAGGAACCTACAGATCTCCGAGACTAGCCTAAAAATGGCCTTAGATTTTAAAAGTATTATCTTTCCGAGTATCAAACGCCGCAACTCTCAAGAGCAGAAACCGGATAGAAAACATAACTGAGGACCATCTGGAACTGTGTTCATACCAGCCCCCTATCCGATTTTAAATGCTAGCCAGCTGCATGGAGTAAGCACACTTCTTTACTTCCTGATGTCTCCTTCGGATGACTTTTCCTAAGCACCTAGTGCCCTCCTGCTGTCTAGGGCCTGTGGAGACAACACCACTCCGAGATTAATCTTTACTCTCTCTATTTACAATTCTCGGTTCACAAGAAAAAAGTGAAGAGGTTATTACCAACTTTCTTTAAAAATCCTGTCCAGTAATCTCTGAATGGGGAAGGGCTGAAGAGGAAGGGCACTTTCCAACAGCCATACAGTTATTCATTCATTTAAATCTTACTTGTGCAATACTATGTTTCAGTCACAAGACAAATTGCAAGGAGCTTGTAGCCTGAAGTTCCTCAACTTGGGCTTGGATAGGACAAGAATTGATTAGTAAATTAGCGAAGATGTGGTAAGGGGGATTATTATAGGTGGACAAGGTATAAGCACTTGGTAAGTGCTGGTCTCTCTCTTTTCAATATATATATATATTTTCCAAACTGAAGGATAGTTGATGTACAATATTATATAAATTACAAGTGTGCAATATGGCGATTCATATTTTTAAAGCTTACACTCCATAGTTGTTATAAAATATTGGCTATATTCCCTGTGTTGTACAGTATATCCTTGTAGCTTATTTTATACATATTAGTTTGTACCGCTTGTCCTCACCCCAATATTACCCCTCCGCCTTCCCTCTCCCCACTGGTAACCACTAGGTCTCTTTGTTTTTTAAGTTGAGGTGTGTAATTGATATATGACATTATATTAGTTTCAGGTGTACAACATAATGATTCATTACTTATATATATTGTGAAATAATCACCACAATAAATCTAGTTAACACCTAGCATCACAGATATTTGCAAATTATTTTTCTTGTGATGAGATCTTTTAAGATTTACTCTCTTTGCAACTTTCAAATATACAACACAGTATTAAGTGTAATCACCATTCTGTATACTACATCCCCATGACTTATTTGTTTTATAATTGGAAATTTGTGCCTTTTGACCACTTTCATCCATTTCACCCACCCCCACCCCCTTCCCCTGCCTCTGACAACCACCAGTCTGTTCTCAGCATCTGTGAGTCGGTTTTTTGGTTTTGTTTGTGTGTTTTTCAGATTCCACATGTTAAGTGAGATCATACGGTATTTGTCTTTCTCTGTGTGACTCATTTCACTTAGCATAATGCCTTCCAGGTTCATGTTTGTTTTTGAGAAGCAGTTTTTCTTGATTTTTAGTCCCAAGGGGAAATCCTGATCATGATGATACTATGAACTAAGGAGGAAGCAAATGTCATAAAGAATTTCATAAAGATCCCCTCAACGTAAACCGTTGCCACAATCACAAAGCACAGAGCACTAAATCAATTCTGTGAACCACCCAAAATCTCCTATTCATTTGAGGTCACAGGCCGTCAGTGGTATAGCTTTATTCAGGTCAGCATTTAGATCATCATTCCCCATGATGGCAAGTAAATTTCAACTCACATATCAACTGACTGAATAACCAAATTGGGAAGTTTTGTGACTGAGTCCAGGCTCAGGAGGAAAATGTTCTGTAATAGATTGATAGAGTCTGTTGTGGATGGAGGATGGATGAGTAGTTGGAGCAACCTATCTGGCATCCCTGATTTGTAGTAATACAGGTCTGACATGCACGTCTTTTAGGCAGTCCTCAGAAACATTTCTCACTATAAGTTTTTGATGATTTCAGTCAGTAGAAGGGTCAAGTCACTGTCACTGGCCAAAACTTAAGGGCAGAAACTTTGATATATTGACTACTTTGTATGCTTTGTGTATCAACCAGAACAAGGGTAGTTTAAGATTCTGTTAATGAAGACGAGAGCATCTAACCTAAAAGGTACATGTCCCCTCCACCTCTTTATAAAGATCGGCAAAGGAGGTACCTATCAGCAGTGTTAAACATTACTGGGTGACACTAACTGGCAGCCAAATACAAGATTAAGGTTAGAAAATACTACTCCATAGAGTATGGCTGCAGTAATTTTAGCCTAGAAAACCAATCATGACTTGCCAGAACCATGAGAGAACTCTTAATACAACACTCAAGCAACATTTAGAGCATTAAACATCCAGGAAGAAATGTCAGTAAAGTCTTGCTTATACTATGTGGGATTCATTTTTTAAAAAACATTTTTGTGTTAATTAATTAAAAAATTGAAGTACAGATGACTTACAATATTGTGTTGGGTTCAGGCATATAGCAAAGTGATTCAGTTATATCTATATCTATATAGATTCAGATTATTTTCCAATATAGGTTATTATAAGATATTGAATATAGTTCCCTGTCTTATTCAGTAAATCCTTGTTGCTTACCTATTTTATGTATAGTAGTTTGTATCTGTTAATCCCATACTCCTAATTTATCCCTCCCTTCTCCCTTTCCTCTTTGGTAACCATAAGTTTGTTTTCTGTGTCTGTGAGTTTGTTTCTGTTTTGTATATAGATTCACTTGTATTATTTTTCAGATTTCACATGTGAGTGATATCGTATATTTGTGTTTCTCTGTCTGACTTACTTCACAGGTATAATATTCTGTAGGTCCATCCTTTTAACTGCAAATGGCAACATTTCATCCTATTTTATGGATGAATAATATTCCATTATGTGTATATGCCACATCTTCTTAAACCATTCATCTGTTGATGGACACTTGGGTTGTTTCCATGTCTTGACTACCGTAAATAGTGCTGCTGTGAATGTTGAGGTGAATGTATCTTTTCAAATTAGAGTTCGCCCTGGATATCTGCCCAGGAGTGGGATTGCTGGATCATATGGCAAGTCTGTTTTTAATTTTTTAAGGAATGTCCATACTGCTTTCCATAGTGGCTGCACCAAACTACATTCTACTTGGGACCCACTTTAATGTATTGGTCTTCATGCACAAGATGAGATATGCAGACAGGCACACGTGCATTCTGTTTACAAAACTGTCCTTTAAATTCTTACCTTAGGAATATAAGGTTGGCAGAATTACACTCACTCAGTATGCCTGAATTAATCTCTATTTCCAAATGGTAGTGATTAACTTTCTCGGAACTAGAAAAATGTTACCCTGTGGAAAAAAAAAAAGACAAGGTCCATAATGGTTATGGCTGTTGATTAACCTACAAAATGTGATGAGCCTTTCGAATATCATAGCTTCAGATTTTTTTCTTCATCTTAAAAAGGGCATAAGGTATGGGAGTGGAGATAAAAATTTTCCAAAGACTAAGGTTCCTTGTTTACCAGAGATCCTGGGAGTTGTTTTTCTCTGGCTGGGAATGTGAAAAAAATTGCAGCATACCTCGTGATACTTCATTTCCACTGTCTCGAACTCCTTAAAATGCCAGGCGGTGATTCAAAGAAGTCAATTCAGTTTGATTAAAACATCAAATATTTATGGGCCACGAGGAATGCAAATGAAACCAAATATAGTCCCTGCCCTCCAGGAACTTAAAATTTGTAGGACCCAAAAGCAAATCATGTTGGAAATATATGCATGAACAAATGTGAACAAAATGCTATGGAAACAAGGACAAGGAGAGAATAAAAAGTCGATTGGACCAGTCTACCAAAAATAATAAATAAAAATCTGTAACAAAAACAAAAGAAAGGAAAGATTTCTCACAGGAGGTGATAATTAAGATAGACTTGTAATGATGGCTAAGATGTTTAAAGATAAAAAAAAAGAAAGCTCACAGTATTCAAAGTGTTACAGGTTTACTAAAACCTGTTTGTGACACTGAAACAGAATAATCAGGGTCAAAATTTAAAAGCCACATTAGTCCTCCCTACCTCTTGTTTTATTGCAGGTAAATGGAGCAAACATGTCCCCCACATGTGTTTACAGCTCTGATGAACATTAAAAGGCATCTTGCGTGAATGAAAAGAGCTACTCACGTGTTGTCTTTTCACGTGATTTCATATTTAATTTACCCTCCAGGGCAATATATCAGTCGTTATGTGCCAAGCAACTGCTTTGCAGTAGTGCTGTGGAGTATGAAAAAACACAGGGAAATCAATTTCTTTTTTCGTGTGCCTGGAGATTCAGTGCTTTTTGTATTGCTCATGGCAACAGTAGCCTCAACTTTTTATTTTTATTTAAAAATTTTTTTATTGGAGCATAGTTGATTTACAATATTGTGTTAGTTTCTGGTGTACAGCAAAGTGATTCAGTTATACATATATTTGTATTCTTTTTCATATTCTTTTCTAGTATGATTTATTACAGGATATTGAATGTAGTTCCCTGTACTATACAGCAGGACCTTGTTGTTTATCTGTTTTATATATAGTAGTTTATATCTGCTAATCGCAAACTCCTAATTTATCCTTCCCCCACTCCCTTTCCCCTTTGGTAACCATAAGTTTTTCTATGTCTGTGAGTCTCTTTCTGTTTTGTAAATAAGCTCATTTGTATCATATTTTAGATTCCACGTATAAGTAATATCATATGATACTTGTTCCTCTTTCTGATTTACTTCATTCACTTAGTATGATAATCTCTAGGTCCATCTATGTTGCTGCCAGTGGCATTATTTTACTCTTTTTTATGGCTGAAAAGTACCCCAAGGAAATTTAGCCACAGATATTTTCATATTAACTGAGAAAGATTAAGTATTTGTAAGCATAGACAATATTAGAAATCTTTCTAAACCATTTTCAAGATGGTAATATAATAATAATATATAAACTTGAAAAGGAACCTAAATGATAGTCTTCTATGAAAATAGATTTAAAAACTAAAAGAAAAACACAGCAGCTAAGTCCAGAAGCATGTTAGAAATCATTGAACTGAGCTTATCTAAGGGTTGGATCAATGTAAAGAAATTTTTAACGTAATACGCCAAATGGTAAAAACTCTATGATTAGATTAATAGATGCCGAAAAGACATCTTAATTATTGCTAAAAGGAATTTTCAGTAAACCAGGAATAAAAGGATACTTTTATCTCACGACATATCAGATTTACAGTGACTCACCAGATCCTGTGGAGAAGCAGCGTTCCTATTGGGGCGAGGAAGAAGACAAGGGCCCACGTGATTGCCCCCGGGAAGTCACCCTGTTCTGATAGTGCTGCTACAATGAGACAAAACAACAGCATCACACAAGAAACACAAGAAGGTCCAAGGCTAAGGAAGGTGTGTTTCAACTATTAAAATATGTTAACATTGGTTGTCCCTGCTGGTGGTATTGTGGGTCTTTTATACTTTTCTCTTTTTGCCTCTCTGTATTTTCTGTACAGAACTGCTATTGCTCTTTTTTTCTTTTGTTTAAAAAAAGATACAACAAACATTGAGAAACCATAATTCAAAAGAGAAGAGATTTTCTTCTCTTTTCAAATGCTTAGCTTACAACTACAATTCACTATTTTACTGTCTTCAAT